CAAGTGCATGGGTATAACTGAAGGATGTATCCCAAAAATCAGTGATAGGTAAGGGAAACCTCCCATGAGCTTTCAGTCAGTAAAGACAGGACATACTTTGGACACAGGACTTGGAGCAATGGAGCTGGAACTGACCACCTGGAAGCCTCTTCCTTGAAGCCTAACTCTCATAGTGCCAAAGGATGTTATTCAAACTGCCAAGGGAAAAAAAAATCACTCAATGGTCCTACTGAGCTATGAAGCCTAATAAACTCAAGACTGGCCCAGCAAAGTCTCTCTATTTGTGCAGTATTTTCTGTTTTATCTTGATGGTATTCAACAGCTGTATAATTGGACATAAGGCTCACTCTAAGGGAATTAATTTATGAGTGGTACTATAAATAGGAAAACACACATGGCTGGAGAGTTCACAGAGCCTAGAGAGAAACCTACTGTTGTCACATCTCTAACTGTGATTTCCTACTTTATTCTAAATACTTATCCTTACATTTACAGATAAGTATACCTCTTACCACTCATCAAAGGAGCTTATTCTTGCAACAGATGGAGACTATTACTGAGTTCCACAACTGCCCAAACACAGAGAATAAATGTCTGTCAAATGCTCAACCCTAGGTGACACACCTACAATGCAATATCTACAACTAAGACTCAAGGAACATAGTGAAACAGGGGTCAGAGAGAATAATAATGGATGTCTCAACTCTCCACAGCAATGTTTCCACATGCAACAGATGGTGATTTACCCACAACTGGTCAAATGCAGAGAACAAGATGCTGTATAGTGCTTATCCATGACTAAGACACTGATACCAAAACTCTGCTACAAAAGGCTTAGGTATCATTGTGGAAGAGCGGGCAGAGAGAGTGTAAGAGCCAGGGGTGGTGGATGACTACAAGGAATCAGGCTTTTCTAGTGTCTGGGAAGTGCTAGTATGAATTTACAGCAATGGTGACAGCATGTCTGCAAATAGAAGCAGACAAAACTCCTACAGAAAACTGCGGAAGCCCCAATCTTAGTCAAAGAATTATTGGCACTGATTACTGCCGAGTGAGGAAAAGCTGATCTTCTTAAAGGGAGGGTCTTCTAGATAGGCTGCCTAGGCCACAGTGGATTCATAGTGAAGGCATTAAGGCCAACAATTGACAAATTGGACTTCGTGAAACTAAAAAATTCTTCTGTGAAGCAAAGTACACCATCATTAGACTGACGAGGGTCTACAGGTTGGGAAAAAACATCTTTATCAGATATATATCTGATAGCAGGTTACTATCTAAAATATACAAAGAACCCCCCAAAAATAAAAAAAAACATGAAAACCTAACGATCCTTTTAAATGTGGGACAAAGAATTATACAAAGCGTTCTCCCACGGTGAAGTACAAATGGCTGAGAAATATTTTTTTAAATACTCAGTAGATTTGTTCCTTCCGTGTTCCCCAACTCCCTTTCAATTCCTTGTCCTCTTAGAAAACAAAGATATCAGGCTAATCTCAGGTTCAATATAACACATTTTAGCAATAATAAAAAAATGTTCAACATGTTTAGTTTTCAGGAAAAGCAAATTAAAACTACTTTCAGATTTTATTGTACTCTAGTCAGAACGGCTGTTAAAATAAAATGATGACAAATACTGGCAAGTATGTGGGGGAAAAGGAACACTTACTGCTGGTGAAGATGCAAACTTGTACAGGCACTCTGGAAATCAGTGTGGAGGGTACTCATTAGGACAGAAATGCAATTACAATACAATCCAGTAATTCTACTCTCGGGCGTAAACACAAAGGACTCAATATCTTACTACAGAGATACCTGCTCATCGATGTTCACTGTCTCTCTATTCACAATAGCTAGGAAATGGAAACAATCTAGATGGCCATCAAATGATGAATGAATAATGAAAATATGGCACATTTTTACAACAGAATATTATTCAGTTGTGTGTCCAGAGGGGCCCTTGTTCCTCCGAGGCGTGGGTACTGCTGCGGAGAATTGGCTGTGGAGAATTAGCCATGGAGGGAGTGTTGGTGCCATCCTAGTGGCGGTGGCAGAAAAAATGGCCCAGTGTCTCACCGGCGTGGACGCGAGAGGGGGCATTTACTGACCCGAGGCGAGACTGCAGGCCCACAATATGTGGAAGAAAGCTAACGGAGACTGTGAGTGGGGCACCGAAGCTATCTGAGAACTGTGGGCCACCG